AACTGAAGTCATCACAGCTGAAAATTCATTTTTTCTATGCCTCTAAACTGGTGTGTGTGTGTGTGTGTGTGTGTGTGTGTGTGTGTGTATAAAAAATTTATTTTTAAACAAATCAGAAAGAAAACAGAAAACTAAATACAACAGATATAGTAGAAAAACAAGTATAGGAAAACAAATACAGGCTGATATTTCTGATCTAACTTCTCATTTCCTGTTCGTTTGTTTCGTGCTTTGGTACTTTTGATTGACAGCAGAGGTCTGGACAGTTAAACACAGGGTTCACACTTAAAGCAGCTCAGCTGGTACATTTATCCGCCTTAATATAAAAACACTAGCACACTTTTTCCACAAAGAATAGTTCCTGCGTTACGGTCTCTCTCGGGAAGCGATGCGTCCTCCACTCCAGCAGGGTCGTGCTCTGGCTCGTCGATACTGAGCATAGCGGTTTTACGGGCTGTTTACCTTCCTGTAGCCGCAGAGCTCCGAGCCGGGATGTCTCTGACAGAATCCCCGCCAAGCTGCTGCGGACTCCGGGCTTTGGTGGAGTCTGTGTCAGAGCTGCTGGCACGGGTTGCGGAGGAGGTTCTGGGCGCGTTGGAGACGCAGAGCAGCGGTTCTGGGTCCTCCGGAGGACCCGGCGGTCTGCTGCGGCCGCTGCTCGCCGAGCGGCTCGCGGCGGCAGCGCAGCAGATCGTCGGGCTGCTGGAGCGGGAGGTGGAGGAGTCCCGACGGCAGCTGCGGCGGCTGGAGGCGCTGCTGAGCCCGGTGGTCCTGCTGAACCGGACAGGTGAGCTCCGTGTCTGCTGCCGTGGCTCTGCGGGCAAACAGGACCGGAGCTGATCAATCAGAAATCGATATTGATCGGGAAGAGGTGACATCACAAGAGTATTACTGTAGTTCAGGAACAGCACCGGAGAGTAAAAGGAAAAGGGCGGCTTATCAGCCTCACACATGGCAGAGAGACAAACAAAGACAGTTTCTTCATGAACTGTTTAAAAGAGTCATTATCTCGTAGAAAACCTCAGTCTGACTGCTCAGGAACCAATCCTTGTAATGCCACTGAGCAGCTACTTTAAAACACCAACTTTATTAAAACAAAACAAAACAAAATAGAAAGTTTGAAAGCTTTTTTTCCTTGCTGGCTATTCTCCTACTGCACATACTCAGAGGAACATCATAGCTTTATACAGGCACACTGCAGAGCAGAGACAGTAGGTACCATGGTGGCGGCTGCTGGTGTGGCACATCCTGCTCTCAAGCCTTCAGATCAGGTCTCTGTACTCAAGAAACCATATTTGAGATGGAGAGGCAAGTCTGACTGAAACTTTTTTCTCATTGGCTAATAACTTGTGATTGCCAAGTCTTAGAAATGCCATGGCACAAATGTACAAAAACCACGTTGTTTTACAAAGGCTTCTTCTGAGGTCTTATAGACACGTAGCCAAAAACCACGCCAGGTTAACCTGACAAGTGGTTAGGATCAGGATAAAAACGTCTCAATCTCACAGATCTACAGACTGGTCTGAGACCGTCTAGCAACCACAGGATGTGAAAGGTTGCTGGTTACTTCCCTCTGACTTCTTTGTTTGCTAAAACATTGCTGCTTCATAGTTTGAATGGAAGTGATGGATTTGCGTATAAACACTGTCAATTGCACAGCAACTGTTGGTTGCTATGTGTCCTATATGGTGGACAAGTCTTTAGCACATGTGCATAACATGATGTGAAAATCATTCAGGT